GTCACTCCCTCAGACCTGGTGAGACAGCTCTGTTTCTCCCACTGTGCCGGGTGGGGACGTAGTGGCATCTGTCGTGTGTCCCACAGACCCTGCCGTGGGGAAGGGCAGTTCCTCTCCTCTCTCTGCTGGGCTGTGGGGCTGGGGCTGGGGCTGAGGCTCGGGCACGCCCATGAGCACTGTATATACTTCCATTTATTTGTGTCTTCTTCAAATTCTTTTTTCAATGACATAATTTTCTGAGAACAGGTCTTTTACCTCCTCAGTTAATTTGATGCCCAGGTATTTTAAAGTTTTTGACGCAATTGTAAATGGGATTTCTTAATTTCTCTTTCTGAAAGTTCATCATGGGTGTATAAAAATGCTGCTGACTTCTGAATATTTATTTTGTAACCTGCTACTTTACTAAATTCATTGATTGACTCTAACATTTTGTGTGTGCGGGGAGGAATCTTTAGGATTCTCTCTATATAGTATCATGTCATCAGCAAATAACTAGAGTTTTACTTCTTCTTTTCCAATTCAGATGTCTTTTATTTCTCTTTCTTGTCTTATTGCTGTGGTTAAGACTTTCAATACAATGTTGAAGAGGAGTGGTGAAAGTGGGCATCCTTGTCTTGTTCCTGATGTTAAGGAAAATGCTTTTAGCCTTTCCCCATTGAGTATGATGTTAGCTGTAGGTTTATCACATATGTTGATATTATTATGTTGAGGTATGTTCCCTCTATTTCCACTTTGCTGAGAGTTTTTATCTTAAATGGATGCTGGATTTTATGAATGCTTTTTATGCATCTGTTGATATGATAATATGGTTTTTATCTTTCAATTCGTTAATGTGGTATATCACATTAATTGATTTGCAGATTCTGTACCAACCTTGCATCCCGGGAGGAAATCCACTCGATCATGGTGTATGATCTTTTTAATGTATTGCGAAATTCGGTTTGCTAATATTTTGTTGAAGATTTTGACATCGATGTTAATAAGAGATATCGGCCTATAATTTTCTTTTTTTTGTAATGTCTTTGCTTGGTTTTGGTATCAAGGTAATGATAGTCTCATAAAAATAGTTAGGGAGCCTTCCCTCTTCTTAAACTTTTTGGCATACTTTGAGATGAAGAGGAGATAATTCTTTTTGAGTGTTTGGTAAAATTTTCCTTTGAAGCCATCTGGTCTAGGATTTGTGTTTTTTGGGAGGGTTTTGATTACTGATTCTAGTTCATTGGTGGTAATTGGTCGGTTCAGATTTTCTGTTTCTTCTTGACTCAGTCTTGGGAGATTGTATGTTTCTAGGAATATGTCCATTTCTTCCAGATTGTCCAATTTGTTGGTGTATAATTCTTCATAGTACTTTCTTATGTTTCATTGTATTTTTGTGGAGTCTATGGTTATTCCTCCTCTTTCATTTCTGATTTTAAGTCCTCTCTCTTTTTTACTTGATGAGTCTGGCTAAAGGTCTGTCAATTTTGTTTATCCTTTCAAAGAACCAGCTCTTGGTTTCATTAATCCTTTGTATTGTTTTTCTAGACTCTATTTCATTTGTTTTCACTCTGATCTTTATTATTTCCTTCTTTTTATCCACTTTAGGTTTTGTTTACTGTTCTTTTACTAGTTCTTTAATTGTAAGGTTAGATTGTTTATTTGAGTTCTTTCTTGTTTCTCGAAGTAGGCCTGTATTTCTATGAATTTCCCTGTTAGGACTGCTTTTCTATGTCCCATAAATTCTGGGTCATTGTGTTTTCATTTTCATTTGTCTCTAGTTATCTTTTGACTTCTTCCTTGATCTCATTAAAAACCCATTTATTGTTTAGTAGCATGTTATTTAAGCTCATGTGTTTGTGTATTTTCCAGTTTTTTTCTTGTAGTTGATATCTAGTTTCATACCATTGCGATCAGAGAAGAAGATTGATATGATTTCAATCTTCTTAAATTGATTGAGACTTGTTTTGTGTCCTAACATGTGGTCTATCCTGGAAAATGTTCCATGTGCACTTGAAAAGGATGTCTATTTTGCTGTTTTGGGGTAAAATGCTCTGAAAATATCTGTTAAATCCATCTGTTCTAGTGTCTTTGGGGCCCATTGTTTCCTTATTGATTCTTTGCCTGGAAGATCTGTCCATTGGTATCAATGGGGTGTTAAAGTCTCCTACTATGAGTGTATTACTATTGATTGCTCCTTTGATGTCAGCCAATAATTACTTCATGTATGTAGATGCTCATATGTTGAATGCATATATGTTTACTAGGGTTATGTCTTCTTGATTTATCGAATACTTTATTATTATGCAATGCCTTTTTTTAATCTCTTATTATACCCTTTATTTTAAAGTCTATTTTATCTGAAATAAGTATTGATACCCCAGCTTTTTTTTTTTCATCTTTGTTTGCCCAAAATATCTTTTTCCATTCCTTTACTTTCAGTCTGTGAGTGTCATTTGATCTGAAGTGGGTCTCTTGTAGACGGCATATGCATGGGTCTTGTTTTCTTATCCATTTGGTTACCCTATGTCTTTTGATTGAAGCATTTAATCCATTTACATTTAAAGTGATTACTGATAAGTACATTGCTACTGCCATTTTATTATTCATATTTCTTATGTCCATTTTCTTCTTTAGCCCTTCTCTTTTTACAGAAGACCCTTTAACATTTCTTGTAATACTGGCTTGTTGGTGATAAATTCCTTAAGTTTTTTCCTGTCTGGAAAGCACTTTATCTCACCTTCCATTTTAATTGAAAGCCATGCTGAATAGAGTAACCACCAGTCCTTTCTGGCCTGCAAAGTTTCTAATGAAAAGTCAGCAGACATTCCTATGGAGGTACCCTTCTAAGTAACTAGCTGCCTTTCTCTTGCTGCTTTTAAGATCCTCTCTTTGTCTTTGACCTTTGGCATTTTAATTATGATGTGTCTTGTTGTAGGCCTGTTTAAATTCCTCTCATTTGGGACTCTTTGTGCTTCCTGAGCTTGTATGTCTAACTCTTTTTCCAGGTCAGAGAAGTTTTCTGTTATTATTTCTGATTTGAGTATTATTTTAGCATGATAAAAATATTTGTATCACACCCAACATAAATTATTTTATCTTTACCTAAACCCAATGCAGAAGTTAAAACAAGTAAATTCTTGGGCCCAAAGAAGTTTGTAGACTTTCTCAGTCATAAATCAACATGACAAAACTAAGAAAAGAACTACAATGCATCTCTGAGACCCCACATTGACTATTCACTGACAGAGTAACATTAATTAGGGAATAGGCTACCATTGATTAGAGATTGAAAAAAGATAAAAATTTCTTTCTTTCTCACATAATACTCTAGGGGTATGGGACCAGTACGTAGGAAAATGATTCAGCTATGGGAAGTAATATAGAGACCTAAGTTTCCTCTTTATTATTGTTCTACCATCCCTTAGGATGCAGGGGTTGTCTTTATTCACACAGTTACAGCTGGCTCACCAGTATTTTTGCATATAAACCTGAAAGAAAGGGAAAGAATAGAAGACAAGGACCAGCAATTTCTTTTTAAGAAATAATCCTAAAGTTACACGACATCACTCCACCCATATCCAAATGTCCAGAACATAGTCACAGGGCTGCAACTAGCTTCAGGGGAAGCTGGGAAATGATTTTTAACTGGGTGTTATGTGCTCAGTTTACTAAAAGGAAGAAGGGCAGACTATATCCTGGTGCCTTCATCATTCTCTCAGATGCCTGGTTCCATGGGCCAGGTAGTATACTAATACCTTTATCCCTTTTTTTCCAGGACAATGAAGGAGATTATGCAACTGTGCTGAACTGGGATGAGATCAAGAGTCAGAAGCGCCTGGAAATTCACTCTTGGCCACATGGAATCATGGCTTTAGGGTAAGTACAGTACTTAGGAATATAAAGTCAGGGGAGAGATGCACATATATGATTCCAATCCAGTGTCAGTAAAAGGTATGTTACCTAAGTGGTGATGTCTCCCTCTCACAGGTCCTCAGGATATGGGTGTACCTTTTCACCTTAGTAATGAGAGACATCATACCAGATACTCCCCAGAAGCCACAGAACTTCTAGCCATTATATCCAAAGCCCTCACCTTTTAAAATTATTCTAACAACATTTCAAACTGCTCAGAAGATAGATTAACCAAGGTTAAAATTTGAATTAATGGGTATTGAGAGGGGATACTTCAAGACTGTTTATATCAATCATGTATTCATATATTTAACTCTTACTATGTGCCAGAACCTGAGGATGCACAAAGAAATAAGACAATCTCTGTGTTCAAGGAACTTAAACTATAGATTGTAATAATCTGTTTGTATTCTAGTCTTTTCTACTGCTCTGTAAATGCTTTTCATTGTTTTCCCAGGCTTGCAGAAGGCCTGTTTCCACATCCAGAATGTGGGTTCTCTAAATGAATGGGTTATACTATGTATTTTCCTGACCTCCAATTATAGCTCCTCTACCATAAAGAGTGTTCAATCAGAGACTGACTCCCAGTGCTCTTTTAGGCACATGACACACATTGATTCATTGATTTATTCACTCACTTATTTAGCAAATATTTATTGAACATCTATTTTGTGCTAGGTGCTATTGTAGTGCTGGGAACACATCTGGAAAAAGAAGAACAGGAAAGAGTATTACATGAGATAATATCTTTGAGGTATGGAAGGACAAGATTATTAGGCTTTATGAATTTAAGATTTTACTCTCAGTGAGATGAGCAGTCATTGGAGGGTTTAGAACTGTGAGGTGCCATGATATGACTTGTGTTTTAAAAGGATCACTCTGTCCTGGCCACTGTGAATAATGCTGCTATGAATATCGGTATGAAAATATCTTTTCAAATATAGTATTTCAAGTCTTTGGAGTAAATACCCAATAGAGGGATTGCTAGATCACATAGTAGATCAATTCTTAGTTTCTTGAGGAACTCCATACCGTTTTTCATAGTGGCTGTACCAATTTGCATTCCCACCAGCAGTGCATGAAGGCTCCTATTTCTTTGCATCCTCTCCAGCATTTGCTATTACTTGTCTTGTTGATTATAGCTATTCTAATAGGTGTGAGATGGTATCTCATTGTGGTTTTGATTTGCATTTCCCTAATAGCTAGTGATGCTGAGCATCTTTTCAAATATTTGTTGACCATTTGCATATCCTCTAGGGAGAAGTGTCTGTTCAGGTCCTTTGCCCACTTTTTGATTGGAATGTTTGGTTTTTTGTTGGTGGTGCTATTGAGTTGTATGAGTTCTTTGTATATTTTGGATATTAGGCCCTTATCGGAGGCATTGCTTGCAAATATATTTTCCCATTCGGATGGTTCTATCTTTACCTAGCAGATGGTTTCTATCCTGTGCAGAAGTTTTTTTTGTTTGATGTAGTCCCATTCATTTATTTTAGCTTTTATTTCCCTTGTCATAGAGGTCAAATTCACAAAATCCTCTTTAAGTCCAAGGTCCTTGAGTTTAGTTCCTATGTTTTTTTCTAAGCATTTTATTGTTTCAGGTCTTATATTCAAGTCCTTAATTCATCTGAGTTCATTTTGGTGTGTGGTGATAGACAACAGTCTAGTTTCATTCTTTTGCAAGTGGCTTTCCAGTTTTCCCAGCACCATTTATTGAAGAGGTTTTCCTTCCTTCACTGTATGTTTTTGGATTTTTCGTCAAAAATTACTTCCCAATAAAAAAATATTGGTTTACTTCTGGACTCTTGATTCTGTTCCACTGGTCCATGTATCTGTTTTTCTGCCAATACCATGCTGTGATTACTGTTGCTTTGTAGTGTAATTGGAAGTCAGGCAGAGTAACACCTCCAGCCTCATTCTTTTTACTCAAGCTGGGTTTGGCAAATCAGGGCCTTTTGTGCTTCCATACAGATCTGATGATTTTTTGTTCTATTTCTTTAAAAAATGCCAATGGAATTTTGATGGGGATTGCATTAAATCTGTATAATGCTTTAGGTAATATGGTCATTTTAATTATGATGATTCTTCCAATCCAAAAACATGAAATATTTTTCCATTTTTTTATCTTCTTTGATGTCTCTTAATAGGGTCTTGTAATTTTCATTATATAGGTCCTTCACAAGTTTCGTTAAATTTATTCCTAGGTGTTTTATTCTTTTCGTTGCAATTGGGAAAGGAATTTTTTTTTACACTTCTTTTTTGACACTTTGTTATTAGAGTATAGGAACGCTATGGATTTTTGAACATTGATTTTTTATCCAGAAACTTTACTATATTTGCTTATTGTTTCTAGTAGTGCTCTTGTGGAGTGTTTAGGGTTTTCTATATAGAGAATCATATCATCAGCAAATAGTGACAGTTTGACTTCTTTGTTTCCTATTTGGATGCCCTTTATGTCTTTCTCTTGCCTGATTGCACTTGCTAGGACCTCTAATGTTATGTTGAATAACAGTGGAGATAGTGAACAGCCTTGCCTTGTTCCTGATTTTAGAGGGAAGATTTTTAGATTTTCACCATTAAGTATAATGTTGGCTGAGGGTTTGTCATATATGGCCTTTATTATGTCAAAGTACTTTCCTTTTATAGTGATTTTGTTAAGAGTTTTGATCATAAATGGATGCTGTATCTTGTCGAAGGCTTTTTCTGCATCTATGAATATGATCAGATGATTCTTATTTTTTAATTTGTTTATGTGGTGTATCACATTAATGGACTTGAATAGGTTGAACCATCTCTGTGCTCCTGAGATGAAGCCCACTTGATCGTGGTGTATAATCTTTTTAATATGTTGCTGCATTCGGTTCACTAGTATCTTATTTAGGATTTTTGCATCTGTGTTCATGAGAGATATCGGTTTGTAGTTTTGTGTGTGTGTGTTATCCTTACTGATGGGAGCTCCCTTGTAGGTAACTAGCTGCTTTTCTCTTGCTGCTTTAAAGATCCTCTTTTTGTATTTAACCTTTGGTATTTTAATTATGCTGTGTCTTGGCATGGGCCTCTTTGGCTTCCTCTTTCTTGAGACAATCTGAGCTTCCTGAGGTGCTATGTCTATTTCTTTCATCAGGTTAAGGAAGTTTCCCATCATTATTTCTTCAAATAGCTTTTCAAATTCTTGTTCTCCCTCTTCTCCTTCAGGTACCCTTATGACATGAATGTTTCTACATTTAATTTTGTTCCATAGACTCCTTAAATTATTATATTCTTGGCTTCTTTTTTCTTGCTGGTCTGATTGGGTGTTCTTGGCTTCCTATACTCTGTATAGGTCATTTGATCCTCTTTTTCATCCATTCTGTTGATTCCTTTTAATATACTCTTCATCTCAGATAATGCATTCTTCATTTCTGATGGGTTCCTTTTTATAATTTCCATCTCCATTTTTATGTTTTTCATCTCTTTGTTAAAGTTCTCACCGAGTTCATCTACACTTCTCCTAAGTTCATTGAGCATCTTTATAACTAGTGTTTTGAACTTCTCACCTGTTAGATTTGTTGACAACTTTATTCCTGGATCTCTATTTTGTTCTCTCATATGGTTTCTGCTTCTTTGTCTTCCCATTTTGGCTGCCTTTCTGTGTTTTTTTCTATGTACTAAGCAAAGTTCCTAAGTCTCCCAATCTTATTAGTGTGGATTTGTGAAGTAGGTGTCCAGTGGCACAGTCCTGAGAGGGGTTCAGCTGCAGGCCAAATTTAGCCCAAGCCTGTGCCCCTCCAGGGCCACCTGTTAAGATTCAGCAAGCAATTCACAGATGCTGTGCTTATAGTTGCCTCAAAAGCCATACCAGAAACTGAGGCCAGGTTTTCCAGTGTAAATCTCAGCAAGAAGTACCTGACTCCCTGAAGATATACCTGGGTGGCTTGCGTGGGGCAGCAAGTTGGGGGAGGTGGGGTTTCAGGGTGTCCTCTGGGCAAACGACCTCTGTTATTCAGTTTGATGATGTCACGGCTATGGCAGCACTGTGTCAGGTATACAATGGAGAGGGCTTAACAGGGAACAATGGATACTACCAGCACCTCTGTACTGAGTAAGTCTCGTCTAACCTCTCACTCCAGCAATGTCTCCTTGTAAGTCCCTGGTGCCCCCTGCACACAGCCAAATCAGCACTGGTGCTCAGAGTGAACAGGTTCGTCACCGCGAAAATCTGCTTGCGGACATGGCCCCTTTAAGGGGAGTCTGCCACTGCCGCTGCTGCAACCTCCATCTCACTCAGCTGCTGGAGACCTGGCAGCCCCGTGTCCTAGCCCCGTTGTACCTTCTGCCGTTGCAGGGTGATTTCTTGGATTTCTCTCTAGTCATATGGCTTGTTCCTTACAATTTTTCCTTGCTGCTGCTCCTTGTTTAAGTCGCAGGTTTGATTTGGTCGCCAGAGGGATGAACAGAGCCTCTATTATCTGTGCCATTTTTTTTTCTCTCTCTCCAGTTCACTACTATCTTATTTAGGATTTTTGCATCTGTGTTTATGAGAGATATTGTTCTGTAGTTTTCTTTTTTTATGTGTTACCTTTACTAGGTTTTGGTGTCAGGGTAATGTTGGCCTCATAAAATGAGTTAGGAAGTATTGCCACCTCTTTGACATTTTGGAAGAGTTTGAGGAGAATAGGTATTAAGTGTTCTTTGAATGTTTGGTAGAATTCACAGGTGAAGCCATCTGGTCCGGGACTTTTACTTTTTGGTAAGTTTTTCATGATTGCTTCAATTTCCATATTTCTGATCGATCTATTTAGATTTTTCAGTTCTTCTTGATTCATTCTAGGAAGGTTATATATTTCTAAGAACTTTTCCATTTCTTCTAGGTTACTAAAATTGTGTTATATATTTTTCATAGTATTCTTGTTTGATCTTTTGTATTTTGGCAATGTCTGTCATAAATTTCCCTCTTTTATCCCCGATTTTTTTTATTTGTGTCCTTTCTCTTTTTTCTTTAGTGAGTCTAGCCAAGGATTTGTTAATTTTATTAAACTTCTCAAAGAACCAGCTCTTTGTTATGTTTATTTTTGCTAGCATTTTTTTTATTCTCAATTTCATTTAGTTCTGCTCTAATTTTGAATATTTCTTTCCTTCTATTGATTTTAAGCTTCATTTGTTCTTCTTTATAGTTTTTTTTTAAGATAGAGTGCTAGGTTTTTTATTTGGGCTTGTTCTTATTTTTGGAGATAGGCCTGTAATGATATAAACTTTACTCTTATGATTGCTTTTGCTGTGTCCCAAAGTTTTGACATGTTGGGCTATCACTGTCATTCGTTTCTGTGTATCTCTTGGTCTCTCTTTTTATTTCTTTTCTGAGCCAGTAATTATTTAGTAGTATGTTGTTTAATTACCATGTTTTTATGGTTCTTCCCGCTTTCTTTTTACAGTTGATCTCCAGCTTCGAGGCATTATGATCAGAGAATATGTTTGATATGATTTCAAACCTCATATCTGTTGAGGCTATCTCTGTGTCCCAGTATGTGGTCAATCCTTGAGAATGTTCCATGTGCACTAGAGAAGAATGTATAAATAGCTGTTTTGGTATGAAAGGCTTTGTCAATGTCAATTATGTCTAGTTGTTCTAATGTGTCTTTTAAGAATGTTATTTCCTTATTGATTTTCTGTTTGGATGATCTGTCCATATTCGACAGTGAGTTATTTAGGTCCCTTACTATGATAATGCATTGGACTCTTTCTCTCTTTAGTTCTATTAGTAATTGCTTTACATATTTCGTGGTTCTCTGATTGGGAGCATAGATATTAATAATTGCTATGTCTTCTTGATGTATGATTACCTTTATCATTATGAAGTGTCCCTCAGTATCTTTATTTACCTTTTTCTTTATTTTGAAGTTTATTTTGTCTGATATTAGTACTACTACTTCCACTTTTCTCTGAATGTCATTTGCTTGAAATATCATTTTCCACTCTTTACTTTGACTCTATATGTGTCTTTGGAACTGAGATGTGTGTCCTGGAGGCAGCATATAGTTGGTTTTTGTTTTCTGATCCAGTCTTCAACTCTGAGCCTTTTGATTGGCGAGTTTAGTCCATTTACAATTAGAGCAATTATTAAAATATGAGGTTTTTCTATAGCCATTTTATCTTTTGCTTTCTGGTAGCTTGGTGTTTCCAATGTTTTCTTGTCCTTGTGTTTCTCTGTTCCTTTCTTTTAAGTTTGTGTTGAGAAACTGAAGATAGTCTGATGGGTTTTCCTTTATAGATTAGTGTTCTTTTCCCTGGCTGCTTCGTTGTTGTTGTTGTTGTTGTTGTTGTTGTTTTCAAATTGGTTGGGTTTTGTGGATTGTTCCTATGGTTATATATACACAGTAGCTTTCTTTGTCATTAATTTTTGATAATTTTAATATAGTGTGTCATGGAGAATTCTTTTTTGGGTCGAGATAATTGAGTATTCTGTTAGCTTCTTGGATTCGTTTTCTTCTGCACGTGTCTTATCTCCATTCCCCTTTTTGAATTTGTATTTTTGATTCCTCCCCTTTTTTTTGTTATTGTTGTCTCAAATTTTCTCTATATATGCTGAACGTCACTCCTATCTTGCAATAGCAATTCTCTTCTTACTGTTTAAGCTTATGATACCCTTTCTTGCTAAGAGTTGCACTATGTTTTTGTCTGCCTGCTAGTCACCTTAATCATAGTTATGTATTTTCTTGTCATTTCATTTCAGGCGGGCTGAATCCTTTAGTTTTTCCTATAATGCAGGCCTCATAGTGGAGAATTCCCTCAATTTCTATATTTCTGTAAATGTCTTTATTTCTACTTCATATCTAAAGGAGAGCTTGCTGGATATATTATTATTGGCCAGTAATTCCTTTCATTTAATAGTTTGAATATTTGGTTCCACTCCTTCCCTTTCCTTTCTTGTAAGTTTGTGTTGAGAAACTGAAGATAGTCTGATGGGTTTTCCTTTATAGATTAGTGTTCTTTTCCCTGGCTGCTTCGAGAATTCTTTCTTTGTCATTAATTTTTGATAATTTTAATATAGTGTGTCATGGAGAATTCTTTTTTGGGTCGAGATAATTGAGTATTCTGTTAGCTTCTTGGATTCGAAGTTCCAGCTCATTCTTTAGATTTGGGAAATTCTTGTCAGCTATTTATCTGAATATGCTCTCTGATCTCTTCTCCTCTTCTTCTGTAATACTCATCATTCTTATGTTCCCTTTCCTGATGCCATCAGCTAGTTCTTGTTAATCTCTTTCATTATTTTTCAGTATAGGTCTCTCTTTTCTTCATTCTGAATCATTTCTAGAATTCTGTCTTTGGTATCACTGATCCATTCCTCCATTTGGTCAATTCTGTTGAGGCCTCATAGTGGAGAATTCCCTCAATTTCTATATTTCTGTAAATGTCTTTATTTCTACTTCATATCTAAAGGAGAGCTTGCTGGATATATTTTTATTGGACAGGTAGTTCCTTTCACTTAATAGTTTAAATATTTGATTCTTTCCTTTCTTGTAAGTTTGTGTTGAGAAACTGAAGATAGTCTGATGGGTTTTCCTTTATAGATTAGTGTTCTTTTCCCTGGCTGCTTCGAGAATTCTTTCTTTGTCATTAATTTTTGATAATTTTAATATAGTGTGTCATGGAGAATTCTTTTTTGGGTCGAGATAATTGAGTATTCTGTTAGCTTCTTGGATTCGAAGTTCCAGCTCATTCTTTAGATTTGGGAAATTCTTGTCAGCTATTTATCTGAATATGCTCTCTGATCTCTTCTCCTCTTCTTCTGTAATACTCATCATTCTTATGTTCCCTTTCCTGATGCCATCAGCTAGTTCTTGTTAATCTCTTTCATTATTTTTCAGTATAGGTCTCTCTTTTCTTCATTCTGAATCATTTCTAGAATTCTGTCTTTGGTATCACTGATCCATTCCTCCATTTGGTCAATTCTGTTGCCTAAGCTTGCTATTTTATTCTTCATCTCTTTTAGTGTGTTCTTCATCTCCAGAAGTTCTATTTGGTTCTTTCTTTGGGTTTCAATCTCTTTTCTAAAAAAACTCATTATGCTGGTATTGTTTTTTCCCTCAACTCCTGTAACTATTGTTCTGAGTTATTTTTGATCTGATTGTGATTTTTTCAGAAGTACAGTCCTGAATTCTCTGTCTTTTAGGTTGTATATTTCTTTGTCTTTAACCTTATTTTCTAGAGATTTTTTCTTTCTTTTTCTGAGCTGCCTTGTCACTTTGGTTGTTCATGGTGTTT